TGGTCTATAGTTAACAACATGGGCTATACTGACAGTGTATAACACCCTGGTTTATAGTTAACAATATGGGCTATACTGACAGTGTATAACACCTGGTTTATAGTTAACAATATGGGCTATACTGACAGTGCATAACACCCTGATCTATAGTTAACAACATGGGCTATACTGACAGTGTAGGACACCCTGGTTTATAGTTAACAACATGGGCTATACTGACAGTGTATAACACCTGGTTTATAGTTAACAACATGGGCTATACTGACAGTGTATAACACCTTGGTCAATAGTTAACAACATGGGCTATACTGACAATGAAGGACACCCTGGTTTATAGTAAACAACATGGGCTATACTGACAATGTAGGACACCCTGGTTTATAGTTAACAACATGGGCTATACTGACAATGTGGGACACCCAGATTTATAGTTAACAACATGGGCTACACTGAGAGTTTATAACGGTCGGTTGATCTTATGTTAAAGCACAGGGTGCCTAGTGTTGCTCCATTGCCCGTCATTCAATTGTTTTGTGTTGAGGCAAGGCCAACAAGCTAGTATATGAATAGTTGATTTAGAGCATGGCAATGCCTGTGTTCATCTTGATCTTCTCTTTTGCTTTCACCAACCTGACTATCCCAATGGGGAAAACACTTGGTTCATTTCGGCCACGGTTTACCTGGTATAGGGCTGTAAGGAAATTGACAAAGGTGTATACTGAAGAAAGCCAAGATACGTTTGATACAAAGAAGTGTACAGTGCAGTGTTTGTATGTGCATATCCACTTTAGTTCCACGTATACTTGTCGCAGTTTCAGATCTGTCAGCGATTTGATATAAGCATTATGCTGTAAGTGTTTTGAGATTCGGATCTACGTTTCAAACACGTACGCGCTTTAACCATGTTAACGTTCAAACAAATGTACATATCCGCTTTTTAAACATGTGTACTCTATATGTCGCCATTTCAACCTTTAAGTACTTGGTACATATCAATGTTTCAAACACATGTAATTATCAGCATTACAAAGACAGGTAGATATCAACATTACAAACGTATGTGTGAATTCAGCGTTACAAACACGAGTGCATATCGATGTTACAAACACGTGTAGATGTCAACACTTACGTGTACATATCAACGTTACACACACGTGTACATATCAACGTTACACACACGGGTACATATCAACGTTACAAAAACGTGTACATATCAACGTTACAAACACGTGTACATATCAACGTTACACACACGTGTACATATCAACGTTACACACACGGGTACATATCAACGTTACACACACAGGTACATACCAACGTTACAAAAACGTGTACATATCAACGTAACAAACACGTGTACATATCAACGTTACACACACGGGTACATATCAACGTTACACACACAGGTACATACCAACGTTACAAACACAGGTACATACCAACGTTACAAAAACGTGTACATATCAACGTTACAAACACGTGTACATATCAACGTTAAACACACGGGTACATATCAACGTTACACACACGGGTACATATCAACGTTACACACACGGGTACATATCAACGTTACACACACAGGTACATACCAACGTTACAAACACATGTACATATCAAAGTTACAAACACGTGTAGATGTGAACGTTACAAACACGCTAAACACGGGTACATATCAACGTTACAAACACGTGTTCATATATGCATTACAAACACGCTTACGTATCAACGTTACACACAAGTTTATATATCAACGTTACAAACACGTGTTCATATCAACGTTACACACACGGGTACATATCAACGTTACACACACAGGTACATACCAACGTTACAAAAACGAGTACATATCAACGTTACACACACGGGTACATATCAACGTTACACACACGGGTACATATCAACGTTACACACACAGGTACATACCAACGTTACAAACACATGTACATATCAAAGTTACAAACACGTGTAGATGTGAACGTTACAAACACGCTAAACACGGGTACATATCAACGTTACACACACGGGTACATATCAAAGTTACACACACGTGTTCATATATGCATTACAAACACGCTTACGTATCAACGTTACACACAAGTTTATATATCAACGTTACAAACACGTGTTCATATCAACGTTACACACACGTGTTCATATCAACGTTACACACACGTTTACACATCAACGTTACAAACACGGTACATATCAACGTTACACACACGTGTACATATCAACATTACACACACGTGTACATATCAAAGTTACAAACACGTGTAGATGTGAACGTTACAAACACGCTTACGTATCAACGTTACAAACACGGTACATATCAACGTTACACACACGTGTAGATGTGAACGTTACAAACACGCTTACGTATCAACGTTACAAACACGGTACATATCAACGTTACAAACACGTGTAGATGTGAACGTTACAAACACGCTTACGTATCAACGTTACAAACACGGTGCATATCAACGTTACACACTCGTGTACATATCAACATTACACACACGTGTACATATCAAAGTTACAAACACGTGTAGATGTGAACGTTACAAACACGGGTACATATCAACGTTACAAACACATGAACATATCAACGTTACAAACACGTGTAGATGTGAACGTTACAAACACGCTTACGTATCAACGTTACAAACACGGGTACATATCAACGTTACAAACACGTGTTCATATATGCATTACAAACACGCTTACGTATCAACGTTACACACAAGTTTATACATCAACGTTACAAACACGTGTTCATATCAACGTTATGACACATGTAAGTTATGATTTATTAAATGCATGATGTCATCGCAGTGCTAAATGTCACTTTACAATTACATTGGTAGTAGCTGAAAAGTTGGTATATGAGTAGGGTAATTAAAGAAGAGTCTCAACGCGCCCAACGGGAGGGTTTCTGTGTTTTATAGTTCAAACACAATTCAAGTTGCAAATGAACATCTGAATTACATGAACACAAAGTGGATATGTTCTTCACTTTAACCCCCGCCGGGGTTATGTTTACTGTAAAAAAGGCACGCAACTGTCTCTCCATAATACAACCCTCCCTGGCTAGGTGGAAGGCCCGAAAGTCTGCAGGGGCACCAACAGGACCGACATCTACATCAACGTCGCCAGGGGTAAGGGGATACATCAAATCCCTATTGGCATTCGTAGCACTGTCCTACTTTAGGGGATCTGTCTGCCAATCAGCGTTATCGATCTCAGAATGTTATTGATTTCTTCCGTCTTTATCTTTTGTCATTGTGTGGAAATTATTGGGGAAGCTTTTGGACAAAGCCAACGACAAAAGTTTCATGTTTTGTTAATGGTTATCATTTCCTGAACGCTAAAACAGACTAAAACAGCATATACCTGTAATTAAACGAAGCATTAGTAATTAAAAAGCACATGCATGCTGTAAGATGATTTATCATCCAAAACTGACTCCCACAGGAGATATCGTTTGGGTGAGATCAAGCGATATCTAAATTGTAGATATCGCTGCAATGAAATTGCTCATAATGCTTTTCAGACCATTGTGACGTCATTGTTACCATGACGTCACAATCAAATGACATCACTATTGGCTCTGCTACTGAAGGTGATTCTCCATATATTTACTTGGGTTTAATGAAGGTCATTTCAAAGCGGAATCGGATATGACACACTGGATGTTTTCAAAATATGAATTATCAAAAAGAGTTTTCACAGAACAGAATGCGTGTTTTGTAGCAGTGACGGATCTGTTGCGGCAGATAATCAAAATTAATTATTTTTTGGAGTTGACGTTTTCCCAGCCACGCCCCCACACAAGAATGTTAAATGGTAGGTTCCTAAAGGACATGGCCCCTTTCCCCCTTTTCATTAACGATATGTGTTCTACAGTGTCGCGTGCTTATTTGTAATTGTTACCTTGGCATTCTGATCGACTAACTCACGGGTCCGTCTCATGTTTCTTCCCGTATATCACGGTCCGAGGTCAGATGGAACATTGAACACAATAGCAATGTGACTCGTACCAGTTCCCACAATTCAGACTCCAATAAAAATGTTGCAATGACGTCTGTATTAGCTGAGTTGTGTACCTGAGAATGGGCATAGGTGCTGCAGGCGTGTCCTGTCGCCATCAACGCCTGGCGTGCAGCGATACACAGATTCTATCAATAATATAAAATAACCAGATATACATCTGGATATAACACCTAGCTTTTACCACAACACTTTGGTTGAAGTGATAGACCAGCAATAAACATATAGGAAGATACTATACGTAAAATTGTCAAAGCCCTTGTCTCATTATATGAACAACAAAATCTCTGCATTTGTAATTCAAAGATAGCATATCGTTCACAGTTTCAACAAAATCGGTAAAAAACGGTATCGTGTCACTGGATTGTCTGGTCAAGACTCGATTGTGTACAGGCCACCGTCGTATAGCAGGAGTATTGGTGTATGGCGTTAGGAAACAGACAAATACTTTTTAAATGTAAATTTTGTGTCGGGTTGTTTCCGTTAGAACAGAACATGCTTAACCTTTTCGCGAAACCTGCATTTTCGCTAAGTTTCAGTGATCCATTCACATAATAATTTTATTTTCACCGCTATTTTACCCTTTACACCCAGTGGAATCTGTTTCGGCAGAAAATCGAGGCTGGTTTTTCTCTGACGTTGAGATTTTATATAACGATTGCATGTGTCGTCATACAACTCCAGACAGTGCATACATGTACGAAATGGACCCGTCATATTTGGCGTTTTGTGTGCCAGTAGCTAATTTGAATCCCACTTGATACCTTGTCAATCGAAGGCTACTTTCGACTCAACTTATCACCAACGCGATTACATGATATTGTCAGTCACGAAGATAATATACAAGTTTACAATATTTCAAAGTATTACCAAGCGTGAATTCAATGTTGCTCGATATATCATCTTCCAGTTTAAAGCAATTCCCTATAATGTATGTTCCGTTGATCTTGCAGCTGATGGGACTTTTCCTCGTGGGCTTCATGGCCTGGACAATGGCCACCAACCCGGCTCTCATCACCGGCTTCATCTCCGGCTCTAGGGTGAGTGAGGGACTTGTCTGGACGTGGTCTCGACACATGTTAGCGTTTGCTACCTAGGTCAATATCAAATATGTTACACAGGGCACAACATAGTTCCCTAATATAAATTGCTGGGCAAAAAAGCATGCACCCATGTTTGATGGTGGCTAAATATGAAACCAACAAAATGGCTATTCGATGGTACGTATTTGACACAGGTATTGTTTTGGAGATTTAGTTTGCACTGTTTCGGTGGCTGTACGTTTGTAATTTTTTGGTCAAATTCAAGTTTCAAGTGTATGTAAGTGGAAGTTTATGATTTCATATCATATACCCGTCACAGGGGGCGGTTGGGTAGCCGACCCGTGAAGATCCGGGGTAGAATAGGTCCTCAGCAACCCATGCTTGCATTAAAAGGCTACTATGCTTGTCAATCTTTATTTCACGTACTGAAGAGGCCACAGGCCTATAGTACAATTTGAAGAATATACAATTTTATACAATTTATGTACATATCTCACCAAATCACCTCACGTCATTCCACATCGCATCTCAAAACAGTCACATAATTTCACACATACAGTACAATACCATACCCTGTAATTTCATAATTTCTATTTTAACATATCACAACTTGTTATATCATACAACATATTCTATAACATCATATCATATTGTATCATTATTATAAGATCATACTATATAGTATTATTTCATATACCATTATCATATCATAACATACCATACATACCATCGTACCATATATCACACCTATATTATATCACATTTCATATGTCATATAACACAACACATTAGCAATTTCATAGCTTGTCCCATCATATCTTATCATATCATACCATATAATGCCATGTCATTCCATGCCAATTTATATCATATCAATCAATCAATATTTATTCAACACTGGAAGACCGCAAGCCATATAATATGTACACTAAAAAACAGTATTTACACAATTTCTATAATACACATAAAATATTGCATCATATCCCCTCATGTATCATATCACACCACAACACTTATCACATCATATCACATCATGTCATGTCATGTCACATCATATCATTTCATATACATATAACTATACTAAACCATTTGTAATATCACGTCCCACAATATCATATGACAGCCTAATAGTTTAATACCATTTCTAACTCTTTTGTTTGTAGTTTATTTACTATGCTTGTCGTGAGAGGCGACTAACGGGATCGGGTGGTTAGGCTCGTTGACTTGGTCGACGCATGTCATAGTATCCCATTTGCGTGGACCGATGCTCATGATGTCAATCACTGGATTGTCTGGTTCAGACTCGATTATTCACAGACGGTCGTCATATGGCTTGTATATTGCTGAGTGCGGCGTTAACCAACAAAGAAACCAACAGTTGTGTAGCCTAGTGGTTAAAGCGTCCGCTCGATGCCGAAGACCCGGGTAACTGGCCTGTTAAATTATGTTGACCTTGATTTATGTGGGAAATAATAGCCTCCAGCAAATCTGAATTTCACATTTGTTCTTTTTAGTGAGTTACCATGTAGCTAGTTATATAATCATTTATAGATTATTAATAATTCCGGGGCGGTCGGGTAGCCTAGTGGTTCGCTCGTCACGCCGAAGACCCGGGTTCGATTCCCGACATAAGTACACTGTGTGAAGCCCATTTTTTAGCGTCCCCCGCCGTGATATTGCTGGAATATCGCTAAAAGCGCCGTAAAACCATACTCACTCATTTATCAATACTTCTCTTTCAGTATTTTACCTACTCCATATTGGGTGCAGGCGTACTCATCGTCTTGGCAGGTAAGGCCATATATTTCGTTTTATTGTTTATGTTCACACATTACAATGGCGTCCAGAAACGCGGGGAACGCTCAACATCAAGATATCAAGATCTGTGTAGATAGTAATACCATTATAAAAAGCGGCAGAACCTTTACTTGCGTTGTATATCGTTAGGACCATTGTACGATGCCATGTAGTCTTCGGTCTTATCTTCATCCCTTGGATACCGGATACTGATGCCGTCACAGGTGACTGATCAAATACATTAGCATATATGTTACATCCTGTCAGCAAAATAGGGATGCTGAATTATTTATTCTGTGGACATATCTGATGCTAATACTATTGGTTTTGTTTTGCAGGTCTGTTTGGGTGCATTGGCGGGCTGAAGGAAGGGACATGTCTCTTGAAGACGGTATGTCCATAGGGTGTCACGGTAGACCGGCTCATCCACCCGGGAGCTTTCTGTTATTCCTATTGTGTTCTGTCAGGGTACATGTACTGTTGTATATCCTGGGTTGATAGTACATGTTGTGTCTTGTCAGACGTGTAAACAAAGGTTTAGGGTGTCAGTCTCAAAACATTAAGCACTCATGAAGATCCAGGGTAGAGTAGGTCTTCAGCAACCCATGCTTGCCGTAAAAGGCGACTATGCTTGTCGTAAGAGGCGACTAACGGGATCGGGTGGTCAGGCTCGCTGACTTGGCTGATGCATGTCATCGTATCCAAATTGCGTGGATCGATGTTCATTATGTCAATCAGTGGATTGTCTGGTCCAGACTCGATTATTTACAGACCGCTGTCATATCACTTGAATATTGCTGATTGCGGCGTTAAACAATAAACAAACAAACATTAAGTGCGTGTCAGTTTGTTTGAGGACGAAAAACAGGTTTATGAAGACCTCGTTGTGGAATGCACCCTCATACAACAGTGAGTGAGTGAGTGAGTTAATTTTAAGTCACATCATACAGCAGTACAACGTAACGGAATTAATATAGTCTTAAGTATTGTCATCTTTAAAGGTACAAGTAATCGGTATGTCACAAGCACGTTATATCTTGTTTCTATGGATACCTATACCAACAGTTCCATAAAAATAACCAAGGGTGTTTGTGCACGCTACGCTATTGCATTTCTGGATGTTATATATTGTCTTCGACTGACATGGTTAGAAACGCATCTCAACCAATATACTGGCCCTATAGAAATAAATATCAACAGAGAAAATATATGAACGATGGAACCCCCTCATAGTTGTGTCGGTCCTGTAAGAATGACAGAAGACTTTCAACTTATTCTTATTCTTGGTGTTTATATATAAATGTGTCTTTCTTGCATACAAATTATACTTACATACGACGTCGTCTGAGATCCACATATAACTTCCTTGGATATCCAACATCCAACAAGGCATTCACTATACATTGTTTTCGTCCAATGTGTTGTGTAGGATGAAAGCTCATTGAAGATAATCTGCATCATGGGCCTAAATATGTTGTTGTTTAGGCCTGTGTCCGCACATAACGATTCACAGGTAACAGAAGCGTCATGGTCCTGTCACCGCTGTCCACTAAAATGGGTTGAGGACCCCGACGTCGTTCATGTAATTTTCGAAAATGAGTTCCATTTCCCAACTCCTTTTTTGCGCAGTTTATGATAATAAAGACAGCTTTCAACAAACATGGCGACGGCATAACCCTTTTTGCTTCGACATGATTATGGGAGACTGGTACGAGTATATTCATTTAAAAAAAGTACCTTTCAACTGTGACCATCGCATTCTGCGTGACGTGAGTGTAACCATTTTATTTCCTCAACTTATGTAAATACGGTAAACTTTCACATGAGCCGGGTTCAAAAGAGAAACCCCTGAGTAGGCACTTGGGTAATGAATTGCTTGTTCTTCCACTGAAACATCCTTTTGTTGTTTGCAGTTTATCGCCTTCACCATCATCATCTTGCTGATAGAGATCGGCGGTGCTGTGACGGCTTACATGATGCAGGGTGAGGTAAGTTTCTCAACATCTACATGATGCTGTCAGGATAGCACCGTGGAATATGCGGTCGCTTTGCACGGGGAAGAGTTCGGTTCCTCTCGGGTACTGCTGCACGTATCCTACACACCCCTCTCTCACGTCCTTGTGTGTGCCTCATCATCCTTCCAGGTTTTGGTTTTGGTTTGTTTTGTTGTTTTACGCCGCACTCAGCAATGTTCCAGCTATATGTCGGCGGTCTGTAAATAATCGAGTCTGGACCAGACAATCCAGTGATTGACAACGTGAGCATCGATCCACGCAATTGGCACCGATGACATGCATCAACCAAGTCACCGAGCCTGACCACCCGATCCCGTTAGTCGCCTTTTACGACAAGCATAGTCGCCTTTTACGGCAAGCATGGGTTGCTGAAGACCTATTCTACCCCGGATTCATCCTTCCAGGGATACATGTCAATCTTCTCAATAGTTTAAGAAGGCGGGCGTGTTGTTCTTAGTGATTTGTCGCCCTTTACTATCTGTAACATCCTGACTGTTTTATAATGTAGTCCAACCAGAAACGTGTAACTTTAAACATGGGAGTCAACGTGCTAATGCGTCGCCGAGAAATATACACAGCTATTGGTGGTAAAGGGTCCACTGAGTGAGTGAGTGAGGGTTAACGCCGCTTTTAACAGTTTTTCAGTTATATTACGGCGTGCCAGCTTAATGTGGGAGGAAAACCCGTGATGCCGGTCTCAGACGTTTACTACTTTGGTGAAACCCACTAGCACGGGTATGGTGCTGACAAACCTAGAAACATAATCGGGGCGAACCGGGATTCGAGTTTCTGGCATGCCCAAGGGAAGTAACTCTGCACAGCGAATTGCCCCCAATTAAGGGTCCAGCGTTATCATGATTATCAATACTTTGCCAGTATTTCTGTCACGTTTTTAATATACGTTTTTTATAAACCTGAAAAATAAAAGTTGCAAGAATGCACAGTTGTATACCGTAATTGTACATCGCGGTTGAATGTGCTAATATTGAATATTCATCATTGTTCAACATTTCAGTTACAAGTGTATCGGGATTCCGGATGGACTGACTTCAACACAGATACCAAGAACTTCCTGCAGACGGAGGTAGGACCTCCTGTAGCTATATTTGTCTTTTCTTGTCAAATAACATGCTTATGTCTTAGAGTGACCTGAAAATGTCAACTTTGCAGGTCACGAGACAACAATGAAGTTTGAGTCAAATTACCTAACATTGCAGCTGTATGTGGCGTTGTGTGTGTTCCAGTTGAAGTGCTGCGGGTTCAACAGCGCCTCGGAGTACGGCTCCACCGTGGCCGACTACCCCGACAGCTGCTTCTCAGACCCGTCATCCAAAACTGGGGCCAGTCAACACAATGTAGGTCTGGGTTGTCTCACGAAAGGCCTTTTCAAAGGCCTTTTTTGTTTCAGGCTTTTGTTGTCATCGATTATTATTTCATTCTGTTAATAAATATGTTTAAGTTCTTTTTTTTAATTTATAAAATTTAAATTATACGAAACAAGGATGTTGGTACATTTATATCCATAGGGAAAGTATCCGATTCTTGAGCCAGCGAACTTGTAGTGGGACAGCCTTGAGGCAAAGGATGAGGGGATGTAGCTTCATCTGCGACATGCTTGCTGATGCACATGTACATGCTCCCTCCCCCCTCTCCCCCCGTTACCTGTAAATATTAAACGTCAATGCATGAGAATAACCAGTCTTGATTATACGCAGAAACAGAATCCATATGACGTAAAGGGCAAACACAGTGAATTGAACCATACCCCCTCTCCTGTTAAAGCATCGTGGACGGTTACGTTGTTGCAATGTGTTGTTTCTCCAATTAACATCTTATTAAGCTGTTGGCTTTCTGCTCCAGGCTGTTTGTTGGACTAAGATCAACGAATGGCTGGACAGCAACATGGCGATATGGGCGGGCACACTAGGGGGCGTGGCGCTTGTCCAGGTATGTACAATGATAGCTGAAAGATGATGGCCATGTTTGGCTCCGAGCTTACTGTTGCAGGATCCTCGACAATGTGCGATGATAAATGTGGAACAGTACATTGATGAGATTTCTCAGGTTATTTATCCGCCGGACCAGGCTGACAGAGATCCTGTGAACTAAAGTATTTACTTGTTAGACGTCTTTATTGTACACTTCAAAAGACGCTAAAGTTAAAATAACCGCCGAGGAGACTTGTAGGAAATAATGTCATTAAATTGATAGGTTTCCATATGTTGTTATGTTATCATTTGTCGGACACTCTCAACACAATAAATTGTACACAATGCATACAGATATCGCGATGATTAATTAAGGAAGAATGTGTGCTAATACTTCTAAAGTGAAAATATAAGTTACACTAATTACAAGAAATGCAAAAAATGCGATAAACATCATCATTTAGCTTTGATCTGTCGACTCGTCCAGCATTTTCCACCTCTGTGTCGACGGTCCAGCATTTTCCCCATCTGTGGCGACTGTCCAACTACGGTGGCCCATAAGGGACATGGAGTCTGTTTTTCAATATTTTGATATTTCACTTACTGTTATCGTAACCTTTTGCAAATTAACACGATTTGGCATACAAATATGTGATAAATCATGTATAAAGTAGATATTGAATCGCTGAAAAGTGAAAATGTCAAAAGCAAAAACGAAAATGTCAAAAACTTAAATGAAAACACAGAAAAATATTTCCACCGCAGTGGAAATAGTTTTCACCGCGGTGAAAATACTTTTCTGTATTTCCATTTTAGATTTTCACATTTTCGCTTTTGTTTTTGACATTTTCGTTTTTGTTTTTGACATTTTCATTTTAGTGTTTGACCTTTTCGTTTTTGTTTTGGACATTTCGATTTTAGTTTTTGACATTTTCGTTTCACGTTTCAGCGACTCAATAGCTACTTGAAAGTACATTTTCCATGTTTTCGGTTGTTGTTATACATGATTTATCACATATTTGTATGACAAATCGTGTTAGTTTGCAAAAGGTTTCGATAAAAGTAAGTGAAATATCAAACTATTGAAAAACAGAGTCCATGTCCCTTATGGGCCACCCAAGTCCAACACTTTCCATCTCTGTGTCGACTGTCCAATACTATCCACCTCTGTGTCGACTGTCCAATACTTTCCACCGCTGTGTCGACTATCCAACACTTTCAACCTCTGTGTCGACCGTCCGGCATTTTCCCCATCCGTGTCGACTGTCCAACACTTTCCACCTCTGTGTCGACTGTCCAACATTTTCCACCTCTGTGTCAACCGTCCGGCATTTTCCCCATCTGTGTCGACTGTCCAACACTTTCCGCCTGTGTCGACTGTCCAGCATAATCAATTCCTGTGTCGACTGTCCAACATTTTCCCCATCGGTGTCGACTGTTCAACATAATCCATTCCTGTGTTGACTGTCTAACCTTATCCACCTCTGTGTCGACTGTCCAACACTTCCACCTCTGTGTCGACTGTCCAACACTTTCCACCTCTGTGTCGACCGTCCGGCATTTTCCCCATCTGTGTCGACTGTCCAACACTTTCCGCCTGTGTCGACTGTCCAGCATAATCAATTCCTGTGTCGACTGTCCAACATTTTCCCCATCGGTGTCGACTGTTCAACATAATCCATTCCTGTGTTGACTGTCTAACCTTATCCACCTCTGTGTCGACTGTCCAACACTTCCACCTCTGTGTCGACTGTCCAACACTTTCAACCTCTGTGTCGACCGTCCGGCGTTTTCCCCATCTGTGTCGACTGTCCAGCACTTTCCACCTCTGTGTCGACTGTCCAACACTTTCCACCTCTGTGTCGACTGTCCAACATTTTCCGCCTGTGTCGACTGTCCAGCATAATCCATTCCTGTGTCGACTGTCCACCATTTCCCCCATCTGTGTCGACTGTCCAACATAATCCATTCCTGTGTTGACTGTCTAACATTATCCACCTCTGTGTCGACTGTCCAACACTTTCCACCTCTGTGTCGACTGTCCAACATTTTCAACCTCTGTGTCGACTGTCCAACATTTTCCACCTCTGTGTCGACTGTCCAACATAATCCATTCCTGTGTCGACTGTCCAACATAATCCATCCCTGTGTCGACTGTCCAACATTATCCACCTCTGTGTCGACCGTCAAACATTTTCCACCTCTGTGTCGTCTGTCCAACATTTTCCACCTCTGTGTCGACCGTCCAACATATTCCATTCCTGTGTCGAATGTCCAACATAAACCATTCCTGTGTCGACTGTCCAACATAATCCACCCCTATGTCGACTTTCTAACATTATCCACCCTTCTGTCACCTGTCCAACATTTTCTTCCCATGTGTTCCAGATCGTGAGCCTCATCCTCGCTATAGTGATGCTGTCCAAGGTGAAGAAATCCCGCAAGGTGTCGTCCACATCTTCCAATGGCCAGGCATGGGATGGACGACACGCCGCGCGCAGGGGTGGTGGTCGGCGGTATTAGGCTGCATGTGCCTGACGGAGGAACAAAACAGTTGTCTTTATGTTAAAGTTACCTCGAGCGAAATAAGGGTGGGGGTAAAGGTCAGATATTTAGGATAGTTGCATCACTTAGGTCTATTTCAGGAACCATAAGGGGCGAGGAAGGGGGAAGGGGGGGGGGGGGGGGGGGGGGGCAGACACAAAGTTGACGCATACTACCGGTTGTGCCTGAATCAATGGCTAGCCGTTTTGTTGAAAATTCGGTGAGCAACTCTTATATTGTGTGTATGTGATTTAGATGTACTCAGTTCAGTAATTGACATTGTTACTGTATATGTTCTTAGTTTATACTGTCGTTGTGTTTTTTATTGGAATTTTGTTTATTGTGTTATATTTTCCACAGAAGATTTTTATTATTGTGCCAAAGTTTTCCGTCTATCTGGTGACTATTTACATCTGTAATTGCAAAATCCCTACATATTTGACGATATTGTATTAAGGCACAGAAGAACATTCAGACTGATGAAAGCTATTTTCATTACAGTGTATTATCTGTCATCTCCTATTTAAAGACGTACTTTTGCCAAATATCTATAACGATATATCCGTCCATTGGTGTACATATTTTCGATACCTATATATTTCTGTATTTTATCGGTTTGTCTATATTTTGGAGAAAGGTAGACTGTTCAGTAAATGTTTTGATGTTCGGCCATGTCAGGGCATGGGTGGGGTGGCTGTGGCCTAATCAGCTCCTACCTCTATCCTGTACCGAGTCACACACACTATGAATGAGCTAGCTCACTGGTATAGGAATTTACTCAACAAGCTAAAGAATTTGGTTAGATCAAAACATCCTAGCTTTAATCTTACCCTTCATATTTTACGTATTTGCATTCACAGAAAAAGTACTTCGACAAATGACAAAGAACAATAAAGAGTCCACCTTTCTTTTTGAACAAATTTGTATTTTTCTCTGTGAGGAATCCGACTAAGATCAATGTCTTTACATGAAAAGAAGACAATCAAAATGATAAGTGATCATAAACATGAATAACATTATATGTGTATGTTGTTCTGAAATGGTTAACTTGCTTCACAAATGTATTGTCTGGTTTTGAATATGTCATTATATATTATTCATTGCCGACATTATTATACAAGAGAAATACTGTTTGACACACGCAGAGACCATATACCGTACAAGGCTTCTGACGCAACTGACTGCAGAACCAGTAAGTACGCCAAGGTTATCTCCCTTGCCCTGGTGGTTGTTGCCTGGGATGTTGTTACCTCCCTTGCCCTGACGGGTGTTGAATGGGATGTTGTTATTTCTTAGTAGGGCTGGGACGGGTAATTTGGGTAGTCGGGTCGGGTGGGTACTGAGTAGGACCCGGGTACCCACAGGACTACCCGGACCCGTGACCCTGACTTTATAGGTATCAATAAAGATAAAACTTCAGTCAACTCAGAGCTCCAGATAAGCTTTTGGTGTTGTGGGTATTTTACCCATGCATTTTAAAATCATTGGGTATCAGTAATTCTATCTGGGTATTCAAATTTCTGTTACCCCCTATATATACCCAGTTTTTACACATGTGAGTATTTAAGTTAAATATTTAAAAATACTATACATCTAGTCCCTGCAAACTGGTGTCGTGTGGGTTCGAGAGCTTTATACTAAAAAATACCACGATACTTCTACAAGAAAGTGTGATGGCAAATGATCATGATGTAACTGTCATTGTGGAGTTTGGCAAGGTTGACGGAATGCCCGTCTATGATTTCAAAATAAGTTGCTGATTTGCTAATCAAATACGCAGGGTTAGTTCGCAATATTTTGATGATACGCACAAGTTTTATTTTTGTAGCGTATCTGTAATGTTCGTTGCGTATTTGCTACGCTTGGATTTTATTTTACTGCGTATTTCTGCATTTCTGATGCGTATTTTACGCAGATACGCAGCTTATCTGTAGCTCTGGACTCAACTTCAGTTTATCCATGACGTGTATCTAAATATACGTCCAGGTTTCGGTCTAACTATTCCCAGTCGGACATTTGGACCTATCTCTTGAGACCTACAGCGGGTACCCTGGTAGGGTCGGGTAATAGAGGGGTGGGTACCTGGGTAGTAAATTTGGTCTCGTCCCAGCCCTGTTTCGTACCGATCTTGTTATACTCAGACGGTGGTTTGAGCTGGCGATACAATCATTCATGTTTGTGATAATGTAGTAAAACCTATCTATTTTTGTGTCTGTTTATTAGATGTTGTTTGTTTGTCGCATATTGTCAATCGCCACAATAAATGTAATTCCATGTGTATGTGAACTGATTTTGAAAATGTCCACGATGAGAAATATCAACAACTCTTCCACAACTTAAATGGTTTGAATAAATTATTTTGTCACTGAATGTGTGCTGAAGTTTGTTTTTATTGCTTGTTCATAACATACTATTCGTAATGCCTTACCAGTCTTCTGAGGCGACGCACTTCGCTGTTGCACAGTTGCGTCCCTTGGACACGCCGGAAAGCTAAGATTGTGGGTTCGAATCCCTGTTTGCCCCATTTATGTTTCTAGGTTTGTCAGCACAATACCCTTGCTCGTGGCAAATGTCTGAGACCTGCATCACTTTGCATTCACCAGGCCACTGAAAACTTGAGCTTGACTTTTGAGTATCCTGGATGGAAACCTTTACAAAGCAGACCCTATCCCAAAGGAGGTATTACCACATTTAATGAATTGCAGTGTGGGTTCGAATCCCGGACGGGACTCTTCCCCCAAAAGTACGAGTATCAGTACTTTACTAAGAAAGTCTTATCCCCAATATAACATTTGTTACATTTGACCACTTTCTAAATGGCAGTGTGAATTCATAGCTTCCGGCCATGGGAGCCGTGTTAATTTTCACTTATCTGAGGGGTACACAAAGTACATGATCTAGACTACCAGTTGTCGGACTTTCAAATTTGTGAAAGCCTCGGTGCTGAATGGGGTTAGCTCGCTGACTTTGTGTGCTGACGATTAGGTGCCTCACTCTGGCAGTGTGGGATCGAATCCCGGACGGGACTCAACTCAAAAAATTACGAGAATCTTTACTTTACTAAGAACGTGTTATCCCATACATAACACTTGTTACATTTGACCACTTTCTGAATTGTGAATTCAATGATAAATGGGTTAATAATTTTTTGCTGTTTGTATTTTATATATCTCGTTACCTTGACCTTCTCATGGTATATGTCAAACGACTTCCCGAGAAGAAGTCCATTAAAAAAAATAATTTCTGATGTCAATAATCTTTGCATAGCAGAATTGAGAAAAAAACTTACTTGGGGTTTACACAGCCTATTTCTGCCATCTTGGCGGCTATTAGAATATCATTTAAAGGCATGCTTCGTTGTAAAGCAGTAACATTTTCAAGACATTTGAAAGCAATGAACTGGATACATAATTCACGGACATATGACTTCGTGACAGTGGCAAATAAGGCAACCAGAAAATCTACATTTTTGTTACAGATATACACTCCTTCACCATCAATGTCCAGCCATCAGAAGTGATCGGAGTACCTTGCTGAAACACTCCTAGACTCCTAGCAGGCGATCGTTGTCACTGTCGATTTCGTTTAGTTTAACCGGCGACGTACACATTTACCGAACTATGAATTATTTATTTCGCATATGACGTAGTGTAACACTTCCTGGACATACAGGGCAAATGACAGCACAGCTGTCTCGCTGTATCCTTCACTGGATGCTGGTCAATATCAGCTGACGTCACCAAAGCCATATTTCCGTCGTACTTGGGATATTTCCGTTTGCTCTATAAATGTAGAACAGAGATAAATCAGTCGGTGTGACACTGTTCGACATTCAGACAGTTTATTCGGATGTATTGGTCATAGTACAATAGCATGAGAAACATAGATTTGTCACTTGTTTATGGTAAAGGTATTTTATCTATTAAATTAGATAGTCATGTCTCACCAAGTACATGTCATAGATGTGATGCACATTATTGGGAATTCCTTTGTCAGTAGTTGTTTGCTTTTACACTTGGTCTTTGCAAACTGTAGATTTTGTTTTGTTTGTTTGTTGTTTAACGCCGCACTCAGCACTCCAGCCAAATGACGGCGGTCTGTAAATGACATTCATCAACCAAATCAGCGAGCCAGACCACCCGATCCCGTTAATCGCCTCTTCCGACAAGCATAGTCGCCTTTTAGGGCAAGCATGGGTTGCTGAAGACCTATTCTACGCCGGATCTTCACGGGTGCTTAATGTTTTGAGACTGACACACTAAACCTTTGTTGACAGGTCTGACAAGACACAACATGTTCAATCAATCCAGGATATACAACAGTACATGTACCCTGACAGAACACAATAGGAATAACAGAAAGCCACCGGGTGGATGAGCCGGTCTACCGTGACACCCTATGGACCCTGTAGATACATGTACGTAGTTAGTCGATAACTGTGATTATTTGCAACACATGAATAAAATATGGCATTCATCTTCATACTTGTTAGTATACATGAAGCTATTAAACGAGTTTCCATTTACACGTCAAGTATATGTCCCGAGTGGAACGTTTTTCACTTTTCCCAGCTTTAGAGAGGGGCCATAGCCGAACTGGTTGACTGAGCCAGGCTCACATCGGGGCTGTTCAATGAGCGAGCTAGTGTGAAAAATCCTATACATTTGTACAAGCAAATTCAAGAAAAAGGTATACTCGTGAATGAGCATCCCCACTGTTGTCTTCATCACATGACGGATTTCATATCTGTAGATGAGACCGCCTCCGTGGTCTAATGGTAGAGCGTCCGCCCGGAGAGCGGAAGGTCCGGGGTTCGATCCCCAGCCGCGTCATACCAAAAGACGTTAAAAGATGGAACTTGTTGTTACCCTGTCTGGCGCTCGGCATTAAGGGGCTAAAACAAGGACTGGTCGGCTCGGAGTCAATATACTGTGTCTGAGTGGGGTATTCATGTTAAACTGCGGCATGGTATCTCAGTGTGCTAGCACTATAAATCGGCATCAGTCCGGTCTAGTACAAGCAGCCACACAAACACATGCACGTCGCTATATAAGTGCAATAATCTTGGACGCGACGTTAAACCCCAATTCACCTCACCTAACCATATCTGTAAATAG